TTTATTTTGAGTTTTTAAATATAAATTTTCTTTGATTTCGTTATTTTGTTTCGATTTGTTGCTTAATTTTTTTTTTTTAAAAAGTTAACGATTTTATTGGCTGGCTAGCATGTGACAATCACTCAACATTCGTGTAACCATTTTCCATATTTGGGACGTTCACCCCTGTTCCCCCCTGCTCAAAAAAAGTTCAAAAAATTTAAAAGGATTACCTTTGCCGATCATGTCTCGGACGGATTCAGACCCAGAAATTTGAGGATCTCCCGTATGTATTCTTCAATTCGACCAAGGCATCTTAGTGTAGGGCCATTTTTTGGGGGGCGAGCAGGGACGTTTCTTTTGCGTTAGTTTACCAGTTTTAGCAAGCTGATTAGCCCATCGGTATGTTTTTAGGGATAGTAGGTCAATTGGTAGAGCCCAGAGACTTCTTTATGGCTCTCCTTCCAAGGATCTCAACCAGGCGACGTTATGTCACTTGTAATTCTCACGACGTTGGAAAATTATTAAAAATATATTCCAAGTAGTGTAACGCTCATGTATCAGTTTTGGGGGTCGGGTAACACTATATAAGGCTAGATCAAATTTCTAAAAATAAGAAATTGACATAATTCTAAACCTTTAATGATACCTCTTCCGATGAATTACCAGCGTCCGTCGCAAAAAATTTGTAAAATATCTTAGTGAAATGGGTGATGACTATGATGATTTTTCAAATAGATACGCGAACGCAGAAATTGTTGGAAGTGCACCGGTTGGTAATAGTAAATGGTTCGCTCTGGGTAATAGTAAATGGTCTGCTCTGAAAAGGAAAAAAATTAATATAGAAAGCTCACATTCTAAAGAGTTTGCAAGAGATGAATTTAAAACCGCCTCTAAGAACCTTTCTTTAGAGAATTTAATGCCTCACAAGTTTAATCACAATGAAAACATGCTTAGTATTGAGCAAAGCCACGAATCTTTTAAATTTGGTGCGATGGTTTCAAATGGTAATTCACCTCTCTTGTCACCAAGAACCAGTTTGTTAACAATGGCTTTCAACGCAGAATCACAAAATGCGCAAGCTACAAAGGTGGATTCGTATTTTGATGTATCTACTATTAATTCGTCACACACATGTGCAAATGATGAAAATATACCATTTTCAGAATCTTCAGAAGCAAGTTCAAAATCTCCACTATCCATAAGTCTTGAAAATAACTTACCTCAAAATCATAATTCTTTTACGCCGAAATTTTCGTCACCATTAGCGATTAGTACGCCAATAACGGCGTCAAGTGATGATCATGATGTCATACAAAATGCTAAGAATGATGATAATGTCGAAGAATTCACAAATTTAGATTCTGCTCAAAATATTCGTGATGAACAAAAAAATGTTAATATTCAAAATGCTTATAATCGACAAACGTCTCCTGAGATTACAAACCCGTCTTTGCCTCCAATTAAAGAGGAATTATCCAAAACTCACCAGAATTCATTACATCCTGTCGTCAAAAACACCGTTTTTGATTCGCCTATTTGTGTAAAATCTACGCATTCGCGTGAACCTTCAAATTCATTGCAAAATTTATTTATAAATCCAGCTGCTGAGTTAGGTAGTGAAAATCTATCAGAGAAGACAAAAGTCATGGATCAAACGAGCGATAATTGTTCTTACGATGATATTAATCAAAGAGAAACTATTTTGTCTGGCAAATTTAGTTTAGCAGTAAAGAAAAGTTGGAATAATGAATTTATTGAGGCAGAAGAAATATTGATAAGACGTAAAGATGGAATTCCAAGATGGAGCGCTGCTTTTGCTGAAGTGCAATTAGTTAAACATCTAATGACTGGACAAGCTGCAGAGTATCAGGATCCAGAGTTAACAAATTCACTAAGCGAGGCCGAAAAGTTAGCTAACAAGGTTTGTGAGAACAAGGATGACTTTGTAAGTAAAAGTGTATATTAACATGTGATCTCTGTGATCTTAAAGATTCTAGCTAATTTCTCAGTATGATACCATCAATTTATAGGAAACAACATTTGCTATGTTCATAAAAGATGTTTGGAAAACTGATATAAAGCCAGCAAATACACCTAGCGAAGATGAAGCCGAATTGGCTTCTCTTCGTTTAAATTATAGATGGGATTGCGAGTTGGCGATGGCCGATATTCTACTTTTCCGGTCTGTTTTGCAAGTTACTGGAGGTAACGAGATTAAAGGAGCGTTAAATTTACATAGAGCATGGAAACTTTATTCCAAAGTTAAAGATGAAGTTGATCGAATTAAAGGCGAATTAAATAAAAATTTGCATAAAAAGGAACCTAATAGTTCAAATAGTAATAATGGTAATCTATGGGGTTTTATGGGAATATCCAATATGGTTAAATTCGGTGTCCCTACACAGGAGAAATCAGGTGTACACGACACTGTCAGCTCGATAAAAATCGATCCTGATATTGAGGATTGTCTCGAGTTTGGAATTGGAATTTTTTATTTTATTCTTTCAATCGTAAGTTTTTCCTTTCAAACATTATCATCCTGTCTTATTATGTTCTGTAATTGCTTAAAATATTGCATACAGGTTCCTGGTTCGTTTCTGTCTATCCTAAAAACATTTGGTTTTAGCTCTGATCGAGAGCAAGCCATTCGCATGTTGGAAAATTGCTATTCTCGTAATTGTGTTCGAGGTAAGGTATAAACATTATAATGAATCATATTATTAAATATATTATAACTTGTTGATACATATTTTAATTTTCCAATGTACTTTGTCTGAAATTAAAGCCCCTTTTGCTGCATTCTTTCTTCTTGTAAATTACCTTTTCTTATCTCGAGGAATTGCTGATTCTACACCATCATTGAACAGAGCTGGTATAATCGTAAAAGAATGTGTTAATAAATATCCGTAAGTAGAATGATTATCATGCGTTTGAGATGTTTTATTTAAAGGTGTTAAAATTGACCATTATGATATTTACAGAAACAGTTCACCATTCTTATTTATGGCTTGTCAACAAGCCCGTAAAGCAGGCAATCTTAATGAAGCAATAAATTATATAACAACTAGTGTCAGAAGTTGTGAAAACGTTGGTGCCATCAGTACACACCATCGGTTTGAAATGGGAATGACATATTTAATGAACTTAGACATTTCAACAACAAAAGACATATTTGAATTACTGTTTTATGGTAATACCATAGTTTTCACTGGAAAGAAAGGATCAATAAGACTTCGAGGATCAGTGAAAGATTCCATTCATTTTACTTCTCGTGACGGCAGTACGAATAAAGATAAACCTTTATTACAACTTTTTGAATTCGAACTGAGACCATTTTGTGGATTATGTTTGGCCGGGTGTTACTTTATGAAGTCTAGAGAAGGCATGACTAGAGAAGCCTTGGATGTTTTAAAACAAACTCAAACAATGACTAATCCTTCAGCAGATAATAATAGTAATAGTATTGCTAGCAGTATTGGATTATTAGGAACCAGTGCGAGTGGATTGGTAGGATTTGGAAATGGTACTTCCAGTGATAAAAAGGAACCAAAGGTAATAACACTATATACATAAATTTATTTATCTTTTATTGTTTGTATTTACATTAAAAATGTTTTAGCTAATCCAAGAAATAATTGTTCATACTCATAGGCGAATCGTTATAACAAATTTGCCGGTCGTTACGCTGCAAGTATTAATAAAAATTTTGGTTCACCATTCTTATTATACATCATTCTATATCTTCGAAGAGATATTTTTTATATGTCTCTGGAATTGAAAAAACGATGGGCAAATTTGTTGGAAACTATATGGACGGTATGTAATTATATTTTGATTGAAATTTTAATTGATTTCTGATCATATTATTTTTACTTGGTTCACAGAAAATCCAGAAGCCAACTGATCCTGATGTACATGCAGTATACTTGCTCATTCGCGGCGTCTTTGAAAAATTCCTTAATGGTGATCCTACAATTGCTCAAATGACACTCTGTGAGTGTTTAACTTTTGAAGTTGACATTGTTAATGAGACTTGGGTTATACCCCATTGTAGATATGAAGTAGGTTTACATAATTTATCATATGAGTGTAAATATTTTAGAATCATTGAAGAATAATGAATATGAAATCTCACAAAATATTATAAAATTTTTAATAATATAGCTTGGTGAACTGTTTTATAAAAAATTGGGAGATCAAGATGCGGCCATGGAACAATTTCAATGTATATTAAAAGGTTCAAGGTCCACATCTCGCAGTGGTATGGTCGCACGTCGAGATAGTAATGTATCAGTGGGTTCAAAATCATCAACTGATTCTAACGCTAATAATCCGGATAAGTTTAAAAAATATGAATTTATTAAAGCTTTAAAACAACGATGTACCTTAGCAGTTGAACAAATTCGTAGCGGAACATTACCGCCTACAAATGTATTAACACAATGTTCGCCGCAACATTCATCTTTGTCACAAATGCGTCATAATAGAAAAAAGAGTGGATCGAATTCAAGCTTGTTGAAAGATCTTCAAGAACAGATGTTTCAAAGACAATTGATACACACAACGGATAGTAATATTCAAGACAGTTGTTTGGATGAAAAGATTACTGAGGATGAAGGAATTGTACTTAATACTAATGAATCTAAGAAACAACCTGAAAAAAAAAGTACGAGTATACACGAAAAAACTAATAGTGATGGTAATGGACGTCGCAAGGGGGTAAAAGTAAAATTATCACTATTCAAATTTCGATGATTTGTTCAAGATTAGTCATTTTTAATGCTTTTTGTAATTTTAATTTTTTTTTTTTAATAATATGTAGACCTTTTTCTTAGCAATGCCAAAATGCATAGGATCGATTTTGTGATCACGTGATTATTCGGAGTAAATTAGCCAATTAAATCAATTAAAAGCCGGTTATGATAAAACAACGCTCCTTTGCAAAAATCGCGTTTATTCTCAAACCTTAGACTAGCAACAAAAAAATTTTCTCATTTCTGCTGTACTATATTCCTTTCTAAATGACATTTATTTTCTGAACTTCACGTGAATGGAGAATCGACCCTATGCCTTGTCAAAAAATTATATTTATAACTGTATATATTCATAAGATGTAATTATGGATAGATAATGGTTAAATATAATTCTTCACATATAAAAGAAGCGAAATAAACTTTATAAATTTATCAGACTATACCTAGGGTGTACTTTATTCATTATCAATAGAGTTTGGACTTATCTCTCGGAACCGAATTTAATAGTAAAATCAGTCGAATATGTATGAATTTCCCATAATATAGTGATCTCACCTTTTTACGGTTGATTTCAAAAAGGTGCGAAAAAACGATTCCCATATTCCTTTCAGTGTAGGCGTAATTACATCATTAATTCGACTCAATTACACTTTATATTAAAATCCGCCTTCACTAATTTATACCTATGTAGGAAATCTATTAATCTGAAAATGCACCCTTGGATGTTTTATTTATTGGTCAAAAATGAGCTAATCTATCAGATTCTTTATTCAAGAATTCGAAAAATTAGAGTTCTGAATTTAACAATAAATCTGCGTTTAACATTAATGATTAATCCTGGATTATCGTTATTATTATTAACATACAACACCCATATTTTCGCGAAATAACGCGAACTGTCCTAGTGTTACCAACCTAAAACATTTCACTGGCCAATCAGATTTCAAGATCAGGTGTGACGCAGAAGAAACGCCGAGACGCGAAAAAATTAAAACAAAAAAACCGCTCATAACCAGTGTTTAAAATTCAAATTTAATTTTATGTTCTCAAAAAAGCATTTTTTGGATTCTTAATGTTCTCAAAAATTTTTGATGTTCTCAAATTAGAAAGTTAAAAATTTTTTAATATAAAAAAAATTTGTTAAATGTTCTCAATTTCAAATAATTTATGTTCATAACCATTTTTACACGTTCTCAGAAAACATTGAGAACATCGAATTTTAAACACTGTTCAATCTAGCTTAATAGCTAAAAAAATTTCGTTGTTAGATTAGGATTAGGTTTTGCTAAATTTTTTAGGTTGGTAACGCTAGATGTAATTTCGAATTGTGGCCTAGATTACAGCTGATTTGAAAATTAGTGGGACACGTGATGAATTTTGTGATGATCATCGGTAATTATTTTTCGGTAATTTTCGATAATAAGATTTTCGGCCGACATAAGATTATGCCGAAGTGATATACCAGCCGAAAATTATAGTTTTCGATAATAAGATTTTCGGCCGATCTCGGCCGATCTCGGCCGATACGTATAAGATTATACCGAAGTGATATACCAGGCGAAAATTATATCGATATCACAAAATTCATCACGTGTCCCACTAATTTTCGGGCCACTACTTGAAATAACGCGCATGCGCGTTATTTCGCGAAAATATGGTAAACTTGTTTTTTCTTTTTTTACTTTTCAGGCCAGAGTTACAGATCTTGAACAACTAGTTATGTACGTACGTATTTCAATCAATCACATACTGTATAACAATTACGAGGAATGAGTCTGATAAAGAGAAATTTCATGAATCAATTTACAAATTTTAGCTTCATTCGTATAATAATATAATAGCTGTTATTGCACAAAGAAAAAATTTTGTAATTTATTAAATTTACTTTTTAATTTCTTTAATAACAAATTTTGAAACACATTCATTTGAATAAAAAGTTAACAACAATATTCACAAGCAGCATGATACCAAACATTGACCCATCTTTTGACAGGATCGACCGTAACATAACAAAAATCATTAGAGGGAATATTATCCGTATTTTCATCTTCACTTTCAGAAATTGGAAACAATGGTGGTGATAATGAAGTACCTTGTAAGTTATTTATTTTATAAACATAAGATTGTACCATTAAATTTCCAGTACTTGTATTTTTCTGAACACTAAAATTGAATAATGATAATGAATACAATAAATATAGGAAATGATATAAAACTGATTAAAAAGTTATAAACATAATTACCAAATTAAATCCCTATAAATACCCTTGACAACTTCAAAATACTTATTAATTTCATCTTCAAACTGACAGATGTCACCACCAAGACAGACACTTTGAAGTACATGAAAAATAAATTCATTACGATCATCATCATTGAATAAATCATAATTTGAAGATTGTGGTAATAAAAAGATCTGGCGAAGTTTATCGGTTATTGGAAATGAATTGATATAAATTGGGAAAGATTTTACGATTGTACCGGTTGGACGTAGAATATCTTTGATAATAAATGAATTATAGAATTTCAATAAATATTTTTAAATGAAAAAAAAAATAAAATAAAATAAGACATTACCAGAATTATATAATCTATCGAAAAAATCTAAACTCGTGACCTGACAAGCCAATCTCTTGTATATTACCACATCAACAGAACCTTTTATTTCACACCATTTATTTTGACATTGAACCTACCGAGTAATAATCATGTTCATCAAATATTAAATGAATAAATATAGCATCTGAAGGAATAATTTACCAGACATTCTTTTCTAAAGAACGGATTATTAAATAAGTTCTTGAGAAATGTAGATTCATCAGTGGATTGAGGATCAAAGTATTCTTCATAGACAAATCTTTTGATGTAACTGTGATGCTTCATACCCCTTAATGAACAAGCATTTATAAAATATAGATGCAACCAATTAAAATGTGAACAAAAGTCACTGGTCAAAAAAAATTAAATCTCTAATAGGAATTACAGCCAGACCTCCCTAAATGCGGCTTGTAGGGATCAAAGTTTTGACAATGCGCATTTAAAGAACAATAAAACTGCATTTAAAGGGGTCAAGCATATGATTGGGCCGAAGTTAAAGGCTGCATTTAGGGGTTACATTTTGGGAGTCTGACTGTATATGAGAATATGTAATTAAATGTATTCTCATGTTTTTAATAAAACTTTTTAGCCAACAAAAAATATTCCTTTCTGCCAATGAGTGTAATTACCATTTTTCTAATAAATCCTGGACATTGGTAGAATAATAACCATCGATTATGGATGCACAATGATATTTAAAGTGAAAGTTGGGTTCTGGCTCTGGTGAAGGGGGTCTATTAACAGCATCGGAAGTGATTGAAAAATGTTCTTCAGAAGAAACTATTGGATTTGAGTGTTCAAGGAGGGAAGAAGCTTCCGACATGTTTGAAGCAAAATTTTTAATACTTAAATCTCATCAGATACCCATCAGATAAGATAATTAATGCTCCTTGGCAGACATTTATTGGCTAGCATTGTTACACTAATTCGTAACCAAGATTCGTTGCTAAGCATTTACATACACATACGTACGTACGTACGAGTACGAGTGTCAAAACTTTGCACAAACGTCGAGACACTAACTAAACTAACAATGTTCGAACATTCCGTGCAAATTTTATGTGTGAATTTGGTGAATTTGTGTAAATTGTGCGCATAACAAACAGATAACCGATCTGTAAAAAAAAAAAAAAAAAAAAAAAATTACGTAAAAAAATAACATTACGTACCATTTTAAAGGACTAAGCGGAATTGGACTTTACATATCGTAATAGACGTGATTATTTAGATTCCGTTAATTAAATATAAATATACTACAGATAAGTATAAGATTTGGGGATTTGGATAAAGGATCAAATTTCCAATCTTCCAAATTAGTATATGCGCATTTATTATATACATATTTACACACATTCAGTACGTGTGTATTTTTAGAATATTTTTAGATATTGCTAATTTTAGAAACTGTAACACAATTTTTAATACTCCAAATCAATTTATCTTAAATTGGCGCTAACGTTAGGACAATTTTCCCGATTAACCACGCCAGTAATTACATAAAACGCAGCATTTCATTTATTTTCGCCCGTATTTGGATATGCAGTGCCACTTATAAATCTAAAAATGTTAAAATGTAATATAGAGGTTAGAAGGAAAGCAAAGGCTGCTGTGACTATTATGACAGTAAAGGCCTGCACAAGCGGACAGAATCCGACAAACTTGCCAAAAGAAGTGGGTGGGAATATGTATGCCAAGATTCTTGTAAAAACAGAGTTTTACGTTGCGGGCCGAAGCGGGACGGCAAAAAATCTTTATGCCCATGCAGGCCCCTAAGTGACACTAAAAACAAAGCCAAAACGAAAAAAGTGATAAAAGCTGAATGTTTTTGCAGATGAAACTGCTTGGGATTCTGTCCTCTATGCATTTTCTATTTACTCAAAAAAAACTATAAAAAGTCCTTTGTCCATTTATTCTAAAAAAAAAAAAAAAAAAAGAAAAAAAAATAGACAATTTTATTTTATTAATTCTAAAAAAGATGACTGTTTCTAGTTCAATTTTTAAATGGAAACACTTAATCGTGTTAATAATTTTTATCGCTTTCGTTACGATTTGTAGCGGTTCTGGCCACGTGATTAAAAAACGACAAGCTGCTACAGGTAAAAGTCCACAAGCTCCATCACCACAACCACAAGCACCACAACCACAAGCACCAGCACCACAAGTACCTCAGGCTCCATCGAAAGCACCACAAGTACCACAGGCACCGCAAGAGCCACCGGCTCAATCACAAGCACCACCGGCTCAATCACAGGCACAACCAGCCCAGACACAACCAGCTCCACCATCTCAACAAACACAGCCAGCTCAACCTCAACCACCAGCTCAACAATCACAACCAGCTCAACCAGCTCAACAAACACAACCATCTCCACAAGGACAAACACAGCCGGGTCAACCAGCTCAGACACAGCCGGGGCCGCAAGGACAAGGACAAACACAACCAGCTCCACAACCCGTTCAAACACAAGCACAAGGAGGTACTCACCAGTCTGCAAGCGGTAATGATCAAAAAAGTACATCATTATCGTTTGTAGTTAATGATTTTACAATTAATTCTTGTACTGACACATTAAAATGTTCAAAAGAAAACATTGGGACTACTGACAAACATGTACCTTCAACAACAGCGCCAAAAGTGACCAGCGAATTAACTACAACTTATGATGTTTGTACCAATAACCCCAACTGTAAAGTTGTCCCGCTGACTCCTGGGTAAGGATCTTTATAAATATTTTTATTACCGTTTTTATTAACGTTAATTATTATTTACCAAACACTAATATTAATACATTATTATTATCGTTTGTTATTATTATTATTATTATTATCGATATTGTTACTATCTATTCTTAATTATTATTTATAATAAAAGTCAATCAGCAAAAATGGTTACAACTACTCAACCGGCGGATACCAAGGTTATCACTTTAGCACCGGCAAACGGCGCCTCACCTAAACCTAACGCGAAATATACAACAACTAAATTTACCTCAACAATGTATCAAGTATATCCAGGTTATTCAATAATTACCTCATCAACAGGTTCAGATGGACAAGTAGCAACATATGAGACCTATGTTCCACCAAGTACAGTTGTTGTATTAAAAGAAGTTACTGGTGTTCAAGAAGCTGATGCATTAAGTACTGATGGAATTGTTGGTGGTGGAAATAGTTTTAATGAAATGAGAAGATCTGGATCTGGACTATTGGGTATTATTATGAGTTTGTGGGTGGTTGCAATTACTTTATTTTATATGATTAAAAATGTAGATTAAAACAATTCTTAATTATATACATATATGTTTAAAAAAATATTATGTAAGATCTATATTGATCGTTATATATTAATTTATTACTTTAGTTGGGCTCTATATATGTAGAGTGTCTAGTAATAGTAGCATTTTATAATGATCTATCATTATTAAGAGAATAAAAAAAATAATAATAATATAATAATATTATTACGTTCTTTTCTTTAAAGTTTGAAGATATTGAATCTTGATGCAATCATTAGAGCATGTAATACTGTAATACTGTAATTTTTGTGCATGATTCTACATATAACACTGAAACACTGCATTCAATGCATTATCCATATCAAGATTATGATTGAAGAATTAATTTCTTATTGGCCGTCGCCAAGGAATGTTTGTGATCTTCTGTAGAATATATATATATATCATCTTGGCTGAAACTAAAATTTTGGCCAAAATTACAATAATAGTAATAGTAAATATATACAATAGATATATTGTTTATAGTGTACAGTCATACCTTGGTTACATTTTCACGAGCTATATTCCCATCTCAGTTACTGTATATTTCCATATTTAGGTAAAATAAAAATTTTTGTTGATGTTTTACGTACATGTACAGTTTTACTTATGTCCCAACCTTAGTAATATCCTCTCAAAAGGGGTGGGATAATTACTATATACAATTCTAAATTTAGTTATTTGCATTTACGTATACATAACGATAATTACTTTTCCATAATTTATTGTGACTACGTAGGAATCCTTTTATATTATGAAAAAAACAGATAAGATATTTTATCGTACCAGGCGATACTATCAGCTGAGAGAACAATATGAACTTACATACGGTTTAGTGTGTGACACTTGTAGAGAATCTCTGGTCAATGACGTTATCTATACCTGTTTTATTGTTAAAAATAGGGAATATTATAATCATGAAAATCAATAACATCGTGACCACCGATAACACTATGACAATCTTCTAAAAAATAGTGGAATTAACAATAATTACAAATCTTTCATTGTTCAAGACAATAATACTATAAATCTTGAATTTAGACTAACTGAATATGGTCAATATATAGTAGACATGGTAATCATTTGGACTACGACTTAAAAGTCCATTGCTACTTGTCGTCAATGTCACTAATAAACGATGAGATAATTCCCAATGGTGCATATATAAAATGCAAAGCGTCCTATATACGCTACCTGAATCTGTATTTGTTATATATATGTTAGAAATACATCGTACGTACATACGTTTGCATGTTACATTTGATCAAGCAATTTTATTGGTAATGAAACGCGTGCGGGCAAACATTACATGTTTTCGGGAAATATGCAGTCCACTACTACGCCTCGGATATTAATTGATCAAAAAGCGTACTTCTATTCGAACGTATGCAATGTTTGTTTGTCGCACGCAATCGATCAGATGTATTCAGTGTTGGAATTTGGACTATGTCCAATAAAAATTTTATTTGGACATGGACTAATCCAAATGGTGTCCATGTCCATATTTTGTATATTGATCCGGTGTAATGACGGGTAATTTACGGATTTCCCCAATGGATCTCTTGCAATATAGGTGACACCATTAATAAAATATTATATATTATTAATCAATTGATTAGAATAGATGTCACTTATACTGCAAAAGATCCTCCCCAATATCCTGAATGGAATAAAGGTGACCAATTTACGATTTACTCATGTCTTCTTTCCAAAATCTTCGAAATGTTGTCCGTATTTTATGTTCAACGACTTGCCATTTGGAATAGTAAGCATTCGATTTTTATTTGGACTAAGTGTCTATGTCCAATAAAAAATATGGACAATGTGGACATAGTCCATAGATATCACTGTCCAACACTGGATGTAATATAGTTTATCAAAAAAACTCTTCATGCAACCGAATCATTCGATTTAATATAACACAAATATGATTGGTTGCCATTTTTGATGTTTGGTCTTTAAACTAATTTAAGCTAGATTCATTTAGATTCATTTAAAACTAAAAAGCTAAAGTTGATGGTTCGATGTAAAACTCTATTTTTAGGTTCTATTAATCATCGATGTCGTACCTGAAGTTGACACTCGGCTGAAATTGCACTTTGCTGAATTTAGTTCTTGCACATCGTTATGTTGATGATCGAAATCAAGGCCCTTTCGTTATTTATCAAGATTCGTTCATACCAATTCATACAGGGGGATATGCCGAAATTGATTAATTTTGCCCAAAATTTTACTAACGGATCCACAGCCCATTCATTAAATAAAAGTGCCCAGCTGATAATTTCGCTAAAGACCGTCTTGGCTAACATTGCTTAATGCCGACCAGCTCCGATGCATTCCGACACGGAATTCCCCTGTAAAAAATGTTCGAACTTAGGTAAAAAAAAAAAAAAAAAAAAAGAGATTTCCCAATGTGACCATCTTAATTATTATTATTTTGCTAAAAATGACATAGCAATAATTAAAAACTTGATAAAAATGTATTAGCTCATATTTGATGTCGAACTTATTATGTATGAAAATAAATCATATATTTATGAAGTACTGT